GAGAATTGCACCAGAACGTTGCACAAACTTCAGGGAGACTGAGGAAATAAGCAGCGCACAGCCAGCAGAGACAAATAAAAATAGCTTTTCAGAAACCCTCAACATCATTTTGGCATAAAGTCTGTTTTAGTATCGATGTAATACGCTTTTCTGAATGTTAATTAACTTCCAAGTAAACATTTAAATAATTCAAAAGTTACACTTCCGCTTTTGCAAGAACGATTTTTAATGTATTGGAAAAGATTTTTTTTTTCTATACTCATCTGTCTGGAGGGCTTCAAAAAGTAGGAAAAAGATAAAAGAAAAAGAATGGGTTTCACAGAGTCATAGTCATTAAAAGAATCTGAAAATAGCAACTCACTATCATCTGTTCTCATAGCACGGGTCAGGAGCTCTGACACCTCCAAAATTCCTCCTGTCAGGGTAGGGGGGCCATTTGTATTCTCTCTCATTAGGCAATTTGACTAATGACCTGCCGCGGCTGCAGAGCTACTGAGGGACCCAGAGCCTCGCGCCCTCTCTCTTGCAACAGCCTGAACACACACCCTCCATTGGAATGGCACAGATGGCATGCCCGGGCGACAAAATAAACTACAATATGTCTCCGAGATGCTGTCAGGCCTGGGCACTATTTCTCATGTCAGAGTGGGACTAAGGGCTGTGAGTGGGCATAGGGGTCCTCCTCCAGCTCTCTGTTCATCTTCTCACCATTATCTACACTGCTGACAGAGAGAGAGGGGTCTGCAACTAGAATAGCATTTATGTGGTCTGCATAAGGAATCCAGCTCAAATTGAGAGTCCCATCGACATGGAAGGTGTCTAGCCTTGGGATGTGTCAAAGACAGCAGCTTCCACATTGAGCTTCAGTCTTTTTCAGGTTGTTTTGTGTGTGTGTTATTTTATGCCACATAATAAAGGTGTTCATTTGCACGTGCATATTATTGCCCTCACTTTGACTTTCTCACTTAATTCAGGAGTGAAACAGATTCACCCAAGTAATCACACCAGACAGAGATCAATGCAGTTCTGCAGAATTAGTGAAGTGGAAAATAAAAGTTCATCAACATTCCTAAAGTGCTACTCTTGAGTTGTGGTTCAGGTAATATGGGGTATGCGCGATCACCCACGCATATTTTTCCATCAGTCAGCGACGGAGCACAACTCGGTGTGCTTTATGTGTTTGTGTGTGAGCGAGTGTGAGTGTGGTGGTGCTTGCACCGTCCGTAGTTGTGTCTGTTGGAGTGGTGGAAATGTATTGTGTAGTGTTGCTGAAGTCCTGGGTGACAGTGCATCCAACAATGGAAGAGTGAGGGATTAGTGCTCAGCCCAGCGTACGAGAGAGCCCTTCCCGCCCTGAAACAGCTATTCATCTGTGCCCAGGGGCTGGAGATGACAATGCAGCCATTGCTCATTGCATCTGACGGAGCCATTAATAAGGCAATGATCCACACGGGGCCCGTGCTGACTTCGTTCTTTACACTACAATCACTCAAGCCACAGGGTCCTCCTTACTTAACACCACCTCTGCGCTCACAGCCATCATCATCACCATCATCATCATAGTGACTGTACCAAAAGTCCTGCCAGATGTTTTTGTATCCACTGCACTCGCATTCCCCAAATAACTGCACACCTCCCCATGCTGGAATACACACGTGAGTTAATGGAGTGTAGCCTGGCCATTTGAGCAGCTTAGACATGTTTCATACTGGGATTCCTGCTCAGAAGATTGGATTTACATTCTTTTTGCCCTTTGCACCTTCAGATTACTTTACAGTACAGCATCCATTTCTTACCACCAAGTCATCTCCTGTGCCTCTCCATTTGTCTGGATGTAAGATAGGCTCTCTAGTATAGATGGTTGAGGAATACAAAGTGAGATCTGGTTTTAAATGTAATCCTTGAGCAATAAAGAAACTCTCTGGCCTTCAGCTCTCTGCATTCATCTGTCCACGCTGTGCAGATCCATCAGCAGCCACAATCTCCACTCTTCATTCCTGGTTATTGATTTAAATGTGTTCTCCCTGCATACCCCTGCCCGGCGTTGCTGCTGCCAGCAACAGAGTACTTCCTGTTTGTGCACTTTGTGCTATGAGCCTAAACAAGCCGTTACACTAGTTGTCTTCGTTACACTAGTTGTCTTTGTTACACTAGTGGTCTTTGTTTCACTAGTTGTCTTTGTTAC